CTGCTTAGCTTATACAAGGTTGTGTGTATAGCCAGCTAAGTTATCAAACACTGATGGTAAGAGCCAAACATGCTAACGCTAGCTAACATGAACAAGCTAACCTTAACTTTGCGGCTCGATATTTGCTGCATTAAAATGAACTATGCCATAGAAATAAATGGAGTAGCTGACAACGATCATTTACCTTAAAGAGAGACTCGTTTTGGTGGAGTCTAAAGTCTTAAAATGAAACGTTGTTGTCATAAACACATAAAACCACACGATAATGCAAGAACAAACCTGTTTACCCGCTCTCGCACAGTCTTCCTATTGTTCGGTGGTCACCAGGCAGCAATAAAATGTTCTCTGATTGGTTTACGTGAGAATAGAATTCCCCCCCACCCCCACACAGTCTTCCTATTGGCCGGTGGTCACCAGGCAGCAGTAAAGTGTCCTCCGATTGGTTTACGTCAGTGTAGAATTCCCAACCTCCTTTTAAACTTTATTGAAGACAAATTCTACTGTCCATAGACATTATGCCTACATACAGTAAGAAAAAATGACAATAATACTATAAATGTATAAATAAAAACACTCAGAAACATAGTGCAGTTTATTTCATATACTATGGTTTTTCATATTTGACTTGTTTAGAATTTGGGATTTATCAATAGTGTTAAACTGTTTTAAAATCACTTTTAAAGGTAGATTTAAAGATTCATAGTGTTTTTAAGTTAATAGTAAATCTTGTAAATCATCTCAGAATTCTTTGAAGTAACTGTACCAGAATCAGTGCTCAAATGTTGACCAAAAAGATTTACAAAAGATATCTATAATATAACCTTGAGCTTTGAACCTTTCTTCAACCTATGTTTAAATTGTAAGCCACATAATTGTCTTTTTTCTGCTTAACAAAAGAAGAACTTAAAGAAAACATATTTTAGATCAAAGATTATTCTTATTAAGTACATTTCTGCAGAGGAAGCACGTCTGCTTAACAATCTTCACAGTTTTTGATTGACCTCAACCAGGGATGTAGTGGAGGTTAAAGGTCACAGAGCCAGTTTGTCCACAGGTTTAACTTAATGACATGGTTTTACACTGACAACATCAGGTTTATAATCATAGCATCTGGTGTCATTCATCACAGTTAGTGGTGAGAAATTAATTATTGGTTTTTGTCACTTCACTACATGTTTGTCTTGTTTCAGTTGTAATGGTACAGTAATGTCCTGGTTTCACAGTATAAACAGAGCCAGCCCGAGATAGAATCAACCTAAGTGTCTGCTTATGGCCCCCAAGTGTCCTTGAAATGTCCCAGAAGCAAGCTTGTTTATGGACTGTATAGACTTACTGTAATGATGCAAGCACAGTCTGTCAAGGCAAGTTAATTGATGCTGCGTTCAGGTCACACGGGAAAAGTGGGAGAGAAGAGTTTCCAGGTTCCAAACATTATTCACATCAGCTCTCAGGTTGTAAACAGAACTTGGGGATGTGAGATTTGAGGCTGAAGGTTAAAGACTGTATTTATTATGAAACCTTCAGTTTGTTCACACGTTACATCAGTAAAGTCTGTTACATGAATCTTGTTTAGTGACTTTATCCACACAACCAGTTGATTTACATTTCAACCCAAATCTCAGCTGAGTAAAAGTCAATAACCACTGATTTCCTTATTGATTAGGGTCAAGATGATCACAGTATTATAACAGGTCAAACCCCCGTATACCACACAGACCTCATTGGTTCACAGATGTGGAACAACAACATCTGGTCTGCCACACAAACACATGTCAGTGTCATTATAGATTTCTTTACACATGGACAAAGTGATGAGAACAAAACCTCAGTGATAAAGGAAAGTCTGGTGATTTCTCTGGAGGAGACACAACAACACACAAACACATCAATGCAAATATTCCTCCAACATTTAGAGCACAGAGAAGTTTACATTTTCATCTGGACAGATGTCAGTTTAGGCTCCAAGCAACAAACATGGAAAACTAAGAAGTTTCAGCTTTAAAATAAAGATTTTAACAAACTGCATCTGAAGTCACTTCTGTCTATTTCAGTTTAATGAACTCAGCTGAGTCTCCAACACCATAAAACCCAAGTCCAGCATAGCGAGGCTGAGTGCATGTGGTAACTCAGCTGAGTCTCCATCATCATAAAGCCCAAGTCCAGCATAGAGAGGCTGAGTGAATGTGGTCTGGACTCTGTGGAGGAGAGTCATGGTTTCAGAGACACTGTAGAAGGACAGAATACCTGCTCTGTGGTTCAGGTACACTCCAAGTCTTGAGGACCGAGGACAGGAAACGGGAGTTTGGATGTTGTTGTACCAAAAATCATAACTACTTTGGTCACAATATAATGCCCAAGATTTGTCATTGCCTCCAAATCCACTTTCATTCCAGCCCCCTGTTCTCCCGATATCCTTGTATGCGACTGCTACACTAACTCTTGTCCCTCTCCACTCCACCTCCCAGTAACAACGTCCAGTCAGACTCTCTCTACTCAGGACCTGACACCATTCAGTGAATCTCTCTGGGTGACTAGAATAAGGCCGTTGTTTTTTCATTAATGTTACTTT